CTTTGATTTGAAAGGAATACATATAGTTTAATGGAGGTCTCTCTCTCTCTCTCTCTCTCTCTTCTCTCTCTCTCTCTCTCTCTCTCTCTCTCTATCCCCCTCTGTGTGTGTGTGTGTGTGTGTGTGTGTGTCTCTATCTCCCCGTCAATATCTGTATATATATCTGCGTGTTTGTCTGCCCACCATCATCCCTCTCATCCCTCCCTTCCCCCTTCCTCTCTCGTGGCGTGTACGTATCCAGAATAAGACTACTGTACCCTTCTATCGTTAAGTAACAATCCAGCACACAACACAGCACAATGGATGAGCTACCCAATGATTGAGGCTTGATCATTTATTACTAAATCATCTCATCAACAAGGATTACATCATCAAAGAATCAAAAGATATCAACATCGGGCCGTGAATACCAGGATACAAAGCCAGTGACGTGCTTCGTATAATCCAGGTTATAGGTTCTCTATGGGGGTGTACCAACAGAAAGTGGGTGTCTACGTAACAAATGAGCAATGGTGAAATATACAGATACCAATGTAACATACAGACAAGAATGTAACACACGTACACAAATATAATCAATGGACATGAGTGTAACAGGTTAATTTTCATGTAACAAAAAAAAAAAAAAAAAAAAAAACTAGCCATGTAACACAGGCATCCCTGTAGAAAAAAAGAGACATGTTCAGCATATATATTTACATGATATGATATGAAAGACTTATGTCTGTGAATGTGTTTGTGCATTTTCAATAAATAATTTAATGCAATACAATTTTAAGTGAAAATCTCACAAACAACACAATGAATACATCTTCACTTGTGCATATATATGGCTCTGTATATCTGTATATATGTATCATGCATGTATGTATTTATATATATATTCATACATGTGTAAATGTATGTGTGTGTGTGTGTGTGTGTGTGTGTGTGTGTGTCTGTCTGTCTGTTCATGCATTCGTGTGAAGTGTATACATAATTTGATTTCACAGATTTAGCAAATGTCAATAACAAAACAATGAATACTCCCTGCTTTTAAGTACATTGTGTGGACAGTATGGGAACAGTTACAGTTTGTTCTCTGGGGTGTTCTCACAGAGACGGGAAGCAACGATACTACGTTCAGCTGGTGGAGCTTTGCCAGTATTGACAGGTTCAAGAGGCTACAGGTTGTTGGCCTGTGTGTGGCAGGCGATTCAGAGTTAATGAAGGCAGATGGGACAGTACAGTCATTCGTACAATTGTTATCTAATGTAAGTTCACTTCTAAACCGGCTTCAGTTAGAGGGGAGGTACCACAACACAACAGAGCTTCAGTTAGAGGGGAGGTACCACCACACAACAGAGCTTCAGTTAGAGGAGAGATACCACCACACAACAGAGCTTCAGTTAGAGGGGAGGTACCACCACACAACAGAGCTTCAGTAAGAGGGGAGGTACCACCACACAACAGAGCTTCAGTTAGAGAGGAGGTACCACCACACAACAGAGCTTCCGTTAGAGGGGAGGTACCACCACACAACAGAGCTTCAGTTAGAGGGGAGGTACCACCACACAACAGAGCTTCAGTTAGAGGGGAGGTACCACCACACAACAGAGCTTCAGTTAGAGGGGAGATACCACCACACAACAGAGCTTCAGTTAGAGGGGAGGTACCACCACACAACAGAGCTTCAGTTAGAGGGGAGGTACCACCACACAACAGAGCTTCAGTTAGAGGGGAGGTACCACCACACAACAGAGCTTCAGTTAGAGGGGAGATACCACCACACAACAGAGCTTCAGTTAGAGGGGAGGTACCACACACAACAGAGCTTCAGTTAGAGGGGAGGTACCACCACACAACAGAGCTTCAGTTAGAGGGGAGGTACCACCACACAACAGAGCTTCAGTTAGAGGGGAGATACCACCACACAACAGAGCTTCAGAATCAGAACCTGTTATCAAGAGAGCTTAAATGGAAGGGGAGAGGGGAGACTAAACAACATCAGCACGCTTGAATGCTCCACTAGAGAAACCTGTTATCTATGGAAGGAAGCTTGTGTAGAGGATTACCATGTTGTTATGTCTGCAGGCTGGTGCAGAGAAAAAACATGTTATCTTTGAAAGTCTGTACAGAAAAAAACATGTTATGTTTAGACCGCATGTACAGAAAAATAACAGTTTGCTCTCTATAGAGTTTGTACAAACAAATTTGTTGCAAGTTGTACAGACAAATATTAAAATAAAAGCTATGTAAAATCTTTGAAAAAAGTGGGTGAAAATGTTGGTAAGTTTGCTGTCACAGAGAAATGTTTTGTTTTTGTTTCTAGAAGATTGGACACAGAAATAAGTTGCTTGTCTGGACACTCAAGCAGAGACACATGTTGCCTATGTCTGGGCACTCAAACAGAGACACATGTTGCTATGTCTGGGCACTCAAACAGAGACACATGTTGCTATGTCTGGGCACTCAAACATAGACACATGTTGCTATGTCTGGACACTCAAGCAGAGACACATGTTGCTATGTCTGGGCACTCAGAGCATGTTGAGACACAGAGTTGCTATGTCTGGGCATGTCTGGACACTCAAGCAGAGACACATGTTGCTATGTCTGGACACTCAAGCAGAGACACAAGTTGCTATGTCTGGACACTCAAGCAGAGACACATGTTGCTATGTCTGGACACTCAAGCAGAGACACAAGTTGCTATGTCTGGACACTCAAGCAGAGACACAAGTTGCTATGTCTGGACACTCAAGCAGAGACACATGTTGCTATGTCTGGACACTCAAGCAGAGACACATGTTGCTATGTCTGGACACTCAAGCAGAGACACAAGTTGCTATGTCTGGACACTCAAGCAGAGACACATGTTGCTATGTCTGGACACTCAAGCAGAGACACATGTGGCTATGTCTGGACACTCAAGCAGAGACACATGTGGCTATGTCTGGGCACTCAAGCAGAGACACATGTTGCTATGTCTGGACACTCAAGCAGAGACAGATGTTGCTATGTCTGGACACTCAAACAGAGACACATGTGGCTATGTCTGGACACTCAAGCAGAGACACATTTTGCTATGTCTGGGCACTCAAGCAGAGACACAAGTTGCTATGTCTGGACACTCAAACAGAGACACATGTTGCTATGTCTGGACACTCAAGCAGAGACACATGTTGCTATGTCTGGACACTCAAGCAGAGACACAAGTTGCTATGTCTGGGCACTCAAGCAGAGACACATGTTGCTATGTCTGGACACTCAAGCAGAGACACATGTTGCTATGTCTGGACACTCAAGCAGAGACACATGTTGCTATGTCTGGACACTCAAGCAGAGACACATGTTGCTATGTCTGGGCACTCAAACAGAGACACATGTTGCTATGTCTGGACACTCAAGCAGAGACACATGTTGCTATGTCTGGACACTCAAGCAGAGACACATGTTGCTATGTCTGGGCACTCAAGCAGAGACACAAGTTGCTATGTCTGGACACTCAAGCAGAGACACATGTTGCTATGTCTGGGCACTCAAGCAGAGACACATGTTGCTATGTCTGGACACTCAAGCAGAGACACATGTTGCTATGTCTGGATACTTGGCCAAAAGACAGGCTTATTTTGGAAAGTTTAGACAAAGAAAAAAACCCAGTCATTTCTGAAATGGTAGCAAGTAAAGCTGGCAACACTGGCTGTAAAATACTTGAAATCAGCAACAGAAGACTTTTGTCTCACAGAAAATCTTCAACGGTTTCTCTATAATAATCTGTTTTTGTAACTGGATTTGTGCCTTAAGAGTATCTTTTACTGCTGTCTGTAACAAGAGATATTTACAACAATGTACCATCAACTGAAAATACTGGCGATTGTCACATCACATGAATACTGTAACAGACTGTAACATCACATGAACATTGTACCAGACTGTAACATCACATGAACATTGTACCAGACTGTAACATCAAATGAACAATGTACCAGACTATAACATCACATGAACATTAAAACAGACTGTAACATCACATAAACATTGTAACAATTTAGACTGTAACATTACATGAACATTGTAACAGAGTGTAACATCACATGAACATTGTACCAGAGTGTAACATCACATGAACAATGTAGTAGACTGTAACATCACATGAACATTGTAACAGACTGTAACATCACATGAACATTGTAACAGACTGTAACATTACATGAACATTGTAACAGACTGTAACATCACATGAACATTGTAGCAGACTGTAACATCACATGAACATTGTAGCAGACTGTAACATCACATGAACATTGTAACAGACTGTAACTTCACATGAACATTGTACCAGAGTGTAACATCACATGAACAATGTAGTAGACTGTAACATCACATGAACATTGTAACAGACTGTAACATCACATGAACATTGTACCAGAATGTAACATCACATGAACATTGTAACAGACTGTAACATTACATGAACATTGTAACAGACTGTAACATCACATGAACATTGTAGCAGACTGTAACATTACATGAACATTGTAGCAGACTGTAACATCACATGAACATTGTAGCAGACTGTAACATCACATGAACATTGTAGCAGACTGTAACATCACATGAACAATGAAGCAGACTGTAACATCAAATGAACATTTTAGCAGACTATTACATCACATGAACATTGTAGCAGACTGTAACATCACATAAACATTGTAGCAGATTGTAGTATCACATAAACATGGTAGCAGACTGTAACATAACTCGAACATCATAGCAGACTGTAACATCACATGAACATTGTAGCAGACTGTAACCTCACACGAACATTGTAGCAGACTGTAACATCACATGAACATTGTAGCAGACTGTAATATCACATGAACATTGTAGCAGACTGTAACATCGCATGAACACTGTACCAGACTGTAACATCACATGAACATTGTAGCAGACTGTAACATCACATGAACATTGTAGCGGACTGTAACATAACACGAACATTGTGGCAGACTGTAACATCAGACTTTCTGGTCTCGCCGCAGCTCGTCCAAATCGTTTCCTATTTCCAGATCGATAATGGGCTCGGAGTTGAAAAATTCAGCACTCAAACCGTCTGCAGCTTCCAAATCTAAAGCCTCCACAATGTCATGGTGCTCCAAGCCCTTATGCAACAGCCCAGACGTGGACGGGCCTGTACTGACAGGGGTGGGAGGCAGGCTGCTGATGCTGTTGCCTTCCAGCCGTGCCCCGACGCTGCCACGTTTGAGCCCTACGGTCATCAGAAGCAGATCATCCGTGTCGGTGTCTCCAGCCCAGTCATCTTCCTCCTCATCTTCGGTGATGGAGCCGAGTTTTGGCGCTGTGTGAGATTTGGCTACCGGCGGTTTGAAGTTGTTGCCTGTGCTGAGAAGCTGCGTTCTTAACGGAAGGCCGTGGCCTATTTTGTTGGAGTGGAGCGTCAGTCGGGAAGTTTGCTTGCGGAGTTTGTCCCGCTGGAACTCCCGCAGAGCGAAGCTCAACTTCTCGTGCAGCTGCAGCGCCATAGCTTTAGCTTTAGCTTCATTCTTACACAACACTGCGTGGCATCTTAGTTCCATCTTCATCTTCCTGCCCTCGTGTCTGTAGATCCACACGAAGAGACGGGGGTAGCGAGGGTGAGCGATACAGTAGGAGATTCTATGAGCCCGGTATTCTGTCAGTCCCTGCTCTTTAGTGTATGCTTTCATCCCCGACCCCGTCAGAACAATCTTCATCTCCAGGCTGGGATGTTCACTGCGCATGTAGTTGCTCCAGATGATGCTGGCTGCCCGGTCAACGCAGCCTTCACCTTTCATCACGGCTGTTTGCACGTTACCAAGGTAACGCACTTTGAATGAAGGGTCCAGCTCGCTGATGCTGAGGTTTTTGCGCCAACCGAACAAATTCATGGCTGTGACTCCTGACAGAAACACTCCAAATATTTGATCACAAGAAAATGGCGAGAACAAACAGACTGTCAGTCAATTAGACACGACAGTGGATGAGGCAAGCAAACTCGGGTCTGTGTGAGATGTGCGCAAACACTCCAAAACGTGTTGTCAGTGTAAGGTTTACAGCCACATTCTCCTGTGTAATCTGGCAGATTTCTCTGTCTCCCGGCACCTTGTCGGTCAGTGGATCTGCAACAGAGAATCACATAAACATTAGAAAGTCTGTAGATCCGCAACAGACAAACACAGAAACATTACTCAAATAGTGGATGTGCAACAGAGAATCACATAAACATTAGAAAGTCTGTAGATCCGCAACAGACAAACACAGAAACATTACTCAAATAGTGGATCTGCAACAGAGAATCACATACACATTAGAAAGTCTGTAGATCTGCAACAAACACAGAAACATTACTCAAATAGTGGATTGCAACAGAGAATCACATAAACATTAGAAAGTCTGTAGATCCGCCTCAGACAAACACAGAAACATTTCTCAGATAGTGGATGTGCAACAGAGAATCACATAAATATTAGAAAGTCTGTAGATCCGCAACAGACAAACACAGAAACATTACTCAAATAGTGGATGTGCAACAGAGAATCACATAAACATTAGAAAGTCTGTAGATCCGCAACAGACAAACACAGAAACATTACTCAGATAGAGGATCTGCAACAGAGAATCACATACACATTAGAAAGTCTGTAGATCTGCAACAAACACAGAAACATTACTCAAATAGTGGATGTGCAACAGAGAATCACATAAACATTAGAAAGTCTGTAGATTCGCAACAGAGAAACACAGAAACATTACTCGGACAGTGGATTTGCAACAGAGAAACACAGAAGTATTACAAATACAAAGTCAGTACATAAATTAACAATACACACAAATACGTGCGACGCCCCGACACATCTACTCAGCCAGATGAGCTGTAAGACAACAGTGGGTAAGTGAGCTAAGGATATCCTCTGTTTGTGGTATAGATCGCGTGCCTGTATTTGTTGACGATTTGAACATATTTGTTTTCCTAGCTTGTCTGTCTGCCGACAGTGGACGGGCGTGAAACTATGGCACGTTCTGGCTTCAGTGTCGCTAAGCGATTACCACCGGGGGAGAAGGGAGGGGACACGTTCCTGGATTGAATATCATTAAGTGTCTAATATCGAGGAACACCTGACGAACCTCTTTCTGTGGCTGTATATATTAACACACAAAGGGAGACACACGAAATTAGACTCCTCGTTCAGCGTCAACTCAAGTGCCATCTCCGCATTGCTGGACCAGCTGCAATAGAATGGTGTTTACCTGACTGTGCCCTTCTTTCTTCTAGTCCTGCTAATCTCCATCCGCATATTCTTTTATGTAGTCCCCCTCCCTCCCCTCCCCCCCTCCCTCCCCTTTCCCCATTCCTTTGTATCATTGAGCGCATTTGTGTTTGCAATAATCCGACCTCTTATTATTTTTTTTTAATTTCAAATAAAATGTTTAAATTTAAAAAAAAAATGTATAAAACAAAAAGTCCAGCACATTGTTTGTGCTCAAAACCAAACTGCACAAAACGAATCTCCATACTGTCTGTTTGCTAAAATCTATTGTCTTCCTCATTTTAATCACGTTTTTAAGGTTATCCTCAACCCTCAAATTGTTTACCCTCGTCACACACAGACACGCCCATTTGCACGTTGTTTGGGTCCATAATAATCTCTCTCTCTCTCTCTCTCTCTCTCTCTCTCTCTTTCTCTGTGTGTGTGTGTGTGTGTGTGTGTGTGTGTGTTTGTGTGTGGCTCGATAAAGACACGAAAGTATGAAGATAGAAAAGGTTTCAGTCCAGCCTGCTGTGGTACGTACAGGCTGCTAAATACTTGTACTGTGTGTGACGACACGCTCGGTGACTTCAGAATGTCTTTCCTCAACCTATTTTTATTTATATACAGAAAAATATGGTTTTGGATACATCCCTAAGCTAAGTAAGGCGACCTGAACAAACATTTAATTATCCTGGACTGTTGGTGATATCAAACACTGAGACTCTTTCCCAGATGTAAAGTGTTAAGGTACAGAGATAAGACTGACCAGGTGGCTAGGTGTCCGATAATTATCTCCTAGCCAGACCTTTAGAAGCAGATAACCCAGGCTAATTGTAATTATCTCCCCCCGAGGTTACCTAACTTGAGTGCAGGTGAGATCGCCAGTATTGACACAGTGAGCCGAAAGTGTTAGCAGAAGAATTGACACGGTCTGATAAAGGTGATGGCAGGTTGAAGTAGGGATGGGAGGTGTGACCTGGCCTATTAGCTTTGACCAGCTTGATTGACCAGGAGAATGTAACCGTGGGAAGGCAAACAAGTGTTGTACAGTCATTGACCTACAGTGAATAGACTTACCCACGGGGAGGAGCTGTGACATCCTTGAATGAGAGTGGTTTTAGGAGTAATGGAGGGAGGAGCTTAGACGAAGTTATAAAAGGGTGAACTTAAGGACTGGTAAATGAGACTCTGCCATCTGTTGGGCTTAAAACCTAAGCGCTTGAGACGGCACTTTTGGCATTGTGTTTTCATGTTCCAGGTAAGAAGCGAAATTAGTTTCAAAAGCTTTATTTCGTGATAGAAATCTAACTGTCTTTTTGCTCAAGTGTGTGTCTTCATTACTTTGTAGTACGCCTTAGCGAAGATTTCTCCATTCTCGTAGGGCACTGTCACATTGCTTTATATCGTTATTGATATTGTCATGAATGTTTTTTCGTGCAAAGGTGTTTCAATGTTGTAAAACTTAAATGTTGTTACCATTGAAATTTAATGAACTATCATGTTTCTAAAACCACAAGCGTGAAGATAACTTTGGCAGTCTTGTTACGTGTGGTGAATGTGAACCTGTATTACATACAGCTAACACACTCAAATGTGTTTAACTCCCAGGAGGCTATTGTGAAGTTTGATCCCGGAGAGTAAATCCCTGAGATTTGCTATTTGATTCGCCCCAGAAATATTGTTAGCATTCTGGGGGCGTCCATTGTTCCAAGCATGGATTCCAGAACTTGTTCTGCCTAACTGATTTTTATTTTGAATCTGTACGAGAGATGACATCAGACACAGAAGACTTAACTATCATTACAGGACATGAGTAGAGAAAGGCAGGAAATTTAACGGCTTTAATGTCAGACATAAGCCCTTCCAAACTGGACAGGAGTGAATGTGAAAATGAGGGAGAGATGAAATGTTTTATTAAAAAAACAAAACATGTTTGATGTTATTATAATATACATGCTTAGTGTACATCTAGATTAGATACTATACATATGCGCTTGTTTCTTTATCACAGTTCCAACATTGGGCAGGGACTAGTAGGCATCCATTCTTTGCCGACCGTCGAGTGTAACGACCTGCTTGAAGCAGTGAGGACGACAAACTCGAAAAGAATAGGCAGGGTCTCAAGCCGAGAACTGTCCACGGTTATTTCTCCAACTAGGAGTTAAGTATATTAATTCCATCAATTACACCATCTCAACTCTACTAGCCTAAACAAATCCATTTTAATTTTTGGTTAGATTTATTCAATAAATCTTGTTCATGTTGTTATAAAATAGTTGAGTAAGTTGTGTACTTAGGTTCAAGTGTCTTTGTGCATATTAGTTTACTTCAGCTTACAAATATTTAAATCACTTGATGGGTGCTTTTAAGTAATGCCAGGAGAGGAGAGAGTCGGAGGGGTTAACTGTGTATCTTGATAATATCACAGTGGGTTTATCCTGATATCTATCTATCCCTTCTCATACTCCTGTGGATACAAGGACAGCAACTTTCATTTAATGGAACGAGCCACTCGCTGTTTTCTTGGCTATCCAGGACCGTCTAGGATCACCATAGCCTAGATAGATAGTCCAGTTTCTCACGTGGGTGGGTACTGTTAGAGTTCAAACCCACACCCTCACTATATCAGTGTATTTACTCACGTGGGCTCGCAACACTGTGTAAACAAAGTCTGTGAAAAGACTGAAATTCTGTGTGTACACCCATTCTGTGACAAGACGCGTTTGTTTTTGTGTGTACACCCGGTCTGTGACAAGATGCGTTTGTGTTTGTGTGTACACCCGGTCTGTGACAAGACGCGTTTGTGTTTGTGGGTACACCCGGCCTGTGACAAGACGCGTTTGCTTTTTGTGTGTACACCCGGTCTGTGACAAGATGCGTTTGTGTTTGTGTGTACATAAGGTCTGTGAAAAGATGCGTTTGTGTTTGTGGGTACACCCGGCCTGTGACAAGACGCGTTTGTTTTTGTGTGTACACCCGGTCTGTGACAAGATGCGTTTGTGTTTGTGGGTACACCCGGCCTGTGACAAGATGCGTTTGCTTTTTGTGTGTACACCCGGTCTGTGACAAGATGCGTTTGTGTTTGTGTGTACACAAGGTCTGTGAAAAGATGCGTTTGTGTTTGTGGGTACACCCAATCTGTGACAAGACGCGTTTGTTTTTGTGTGTACACCCGGTCTGTGACAAGACGCGTTTGTGTTTGTGGGTACACCCGGCCTGTGACAAGACGCGTTTGCTTTTTGTGTGTACACCCGGTCTGTGACAAGATGCGTTTGTGTTTGTGTGTACACAAGGTCTGTGAAAAGATGCGTTTGTGTTTGTGTGTACACCCGGTCTGTGACAAAACGCGTTTGTGTTTGTGTGTACACCCGGTCTGTGACAAGATGCGTTTCTGTTTGTGTGTACACCCAGTCTGTGACAAGACGCTAATGTGTTTGTGTGTACACAAGGTCTGTGACAAGACGCGAATATGTTTGTGTGTACACCCTGTCTGTGATAAGAAGCGAATATGTTTGTGTGTACACAAGGTATGTGACAAGATGCGAATGTGTTTTGTGTACACCCAGTCTGTGACAAGATGCGAATGTGTTTTTTGTACACCCGGTCTGTGACAAGATGCGAATGTGTTTTGTGTACGC